TTTTTTTTTTATTTTTTGGGGGGTTGAGGGGCTAGCTAGGCCACCCTATGGGTGGGGCTGGCACCCATGTGGTGCCGGGGATTGAACCTCGGTCCCTGCGCCTGCCTAAGCTTGCCTAAGCAAGCGCTTTAGACCACTGAGCTATCTCGCCAGCCCCTCATTTTTATTTTAAAGAAGAAAAAAAATAACAAGAACAAAGACAAAAACAAAGCAGTACAGAACAATGAAAAATGGCACAGAATTTCAAAACAAGAATAGAAAATGAACAATGGTTATTATATTACATCAAGGTTTATCTAGCTCACGGTTCAGAGTTGTTACCGTCCCTAATCAGCTGGCTCCAAGGCAGGGTGGCACAGCACATTGGAGCAATAGTTCCTGTGATGGAAAACAGCAAAAACAACCAAAGAGAGAAAGAGATGAGCCTTTTTCGGTCCCTTATGTGATATCCAATCTACCAGGATGCAGATCAGTGGGCTGATCCATCCGATCAGTGGGCTGATCCATCAGTTACCTACCCTTAATCTCAGCACCTTTACTACCAGTGTTATAATGCAAATCAATCACACACTCTAGATTCAGCCACCTTAAAACAAAAGAAAACACCCAAACAAACTGTGACTGCTTGAGGTTTTGGGGGGACATCTAGACACAAACCATAACAAAGGGCTTCCACCTTCCACCTTAAGGGACTGGCAGAATCTTACAGTAGGGGTTCATTTCCATGACTGTTTTCTTCTGTAGATAGTGCAAAAGACAAAGCACTTTGTTTACCACTGTGTCTGGTTGTATCCATTTCAGGACCAAATCCTGTACTCTTTTCACCACCATCCTTTTGGTACCCCACTATGGTGTGTGTGTGTGTGTGTGTGTGTGTGTGTGTGTGTGTGTATTTAGTACAGGGTCTACGGGGTCTCACTCCCTATGTAGATCAGACTCTTAGTGATATTCCTGTTTTCAGCTCCCAGTGTTGGGATTATAGGCATGCACCAGCATGCCCAGGGGCGGGGCTGACACAGGATGCTGGGTATTGAATCCCAGTCATTGCACTCTGCCTAAGCAGGCACTTTAGTCCACTGAGCTATCTGGCTGGCCTCGGTACCTCATTCTTGAAAATCCAGAATGGAACTAAGAAAGGGAACAAACAATTAAAGAGAACCAACTCTGCTAAGCCGTGCGCTGGGCTTTTTCAGTCTACCATCTCTTGTGTTCCTCTCATAAACTCTAACAAAAGGGTATTCTTAAACCCACTGTACAGATGAGGAAACTGAGGCTCTGAAAGTTTAATATCACTCTAGGGGCTGGGGAGATGGTTCAGTAGAATAAGTGCTTCCCTGGCAAGCGCATGGGTCTGAGTTCAATCCCCAGTTCCACCAAAAAAAAAAAAAAAGATTAATATCACTTATATCCTGACCCTTGCTGGTCAAGTTCAAAGCCAGTGGACTAAGCCCTTGGTCCAAAGGAATGGAGTTGTGTGGGACTGTGTATCACAACCCCAAGCTGTTTGAAAGGGATTTTTTTTTTTTTCATTTTGCCCCATGGCCAGTTAGCCAAGAATTGTAGCTCTGGGGCCAGGAAGATGGCTCAGTGGAATAAATGCTTCCCTGGTAAGTGCAAGGGCCTGAGTTCAATCCCCAGTTCCTCCCACACCCCCCAAAAAAACCCAATTGTAGCTCTTTTCTTCTCCATCACTCAGGATTAAAATGAAAGATACCATTAAGCTAGAATATCTGATGTGAGTCATTTTCTATCTAGGAAGTAGCCAGCTACTATCTGATCTAAGTCACATTTTTAAAGGTCAAGGGCTGGTGAGATGGCTCAGTGGTCTAAAGCACCTACTTAGAACAAGCTTAGCAAAGCACAGGGACAGAGGTTCAATCCCCCAGCACCACATGACAGCCAGCCCTGCCCCCTGGTGGGCTGAACTGGCCACACAAATACATTTTTAAAGGTCAAGTAATTTTGTTCTCTGGTTTTCTTTACTTCCTTGACTGTACCTTTCTCTAATCCTGGATATTTTTAAAATCAGTCACTGTGGCCCCTTTGTTGAACTTTGCCCTCGGGTGCCCATGTGACACTGTGTCTTGCGAGTTCAGCACCCACAGGCC